GTTGAAAAGCTTGTTTTATAATAGAAAGTTAAAAAAAAAATTAGCAGGCCAGGAATAGTGGCTCACACGCCTGTAATCCCAGCAAGTTGGGAGGTTGACGTGGATGGATCAATTGAGGTCTGAAGTTCGAGACCAGCCTGGTCAACATGGTGAAACCCATCTCTACAAAAATACAAAAATTAGCTGGGCATGGTGGTGAGCACCTATAGTCCCAGGCACTTGGAAGGCTGAGGCAGGAGAATCACTTGAAACCAGGAGGCGGAGGTTGCAGTGAGCCAAGATCATGCCACTGCATGCCAGCCTTTGCCACAGAGCAAGATTCTGTCTTGAAAAAAAAAAAACAACAACAACAACAACAACAAAAAAAACAACTTAGTACATGAACATTTGTCCTAGAGAATGTGAGGTCATTCTGGTCTTGACTATAGCCTCTCAACATTCTAGGTCTCAGCTGGAGTTGCTACCAAGTGTTCTGTGCATTCTGGGCACCGTCACCAACCCCCCAACTTCCTAGGTTTGTGACCTCTCCCAGCAGACCCTGTGCCTTGGTGCCCAGAGGTCTGGCTGCTGGAATGCCCCGAACGGAGGCATCCTTGCAGTGCTTTGCAGTGCTGCACAATGTCCTCCGCAGCTACGCAGCACCGCCTGGGCCACGGGCTTTTTGTTTCAGCTGCAGGATGAGTCAGTGTGAGCACAGGAAGCACCCCCAGCACAGGCCCGTGGTGAATCAGGGGAAGCAGGACCCAGAGCAGGAGGGAGCGGCCACCTGGCAGCTGGCCCAAAAGCCATGTTGTGCCTGAGGACAGCAAGGAGAGGGGCAGCTCTCCACAAGAACTAAAGTTGCAAAAGCCTTTCTATTCTACATAATTTCAACAGTCAGATGCTTTTTATTTTCCCAAAGCCCACAGATGTGTCACGCTCCTCAGACACTCACTCAGAAGGAAATGCTTATTGGAGAAGGGACAATCATATTGCCTTAATCTTTTTATAATGGGAAAGGGGTTAAGTGAAGCTCCTTTAGGCAGAGGCTTAATATCTAGCCTGGTTCCAGGGCCAGGATTTTAAAATCCTCAAACAGCCTCATTTATTTGATCTGAAAAACAGAAAACTAAAAATCAAATGCAGTTGTTTTTGTTTGTTCGTTTGTTCTGTATGGGTGGGGGATGGAAGAAAGAAGAGAGAGAGAAAAATCAGACTGAGTTATATGGAGACCACAGAACAGACCTTAGAGAGTAAACAGAATGGACCCACAAATCTCCATCAGTGGAATCTTGAGCAAGTTACTAAGCCTTAGTTTTCTCACCTACAAAATGGAAATAGTATCTGTCCTTTCTATTTCAAAAAACTAGGGGGAGAATAAGATGAAATTATGCATATAAAAGTGCTTTGTAAACTGAAAGACGCTACTATTTTCATTGCTAGCATTTGGAGAGAAAGCACTCCACTATACCACAGTCAATGTACTGCCCACAGCTGGATACAGTGTAGGAACTTAGTATTTGTTGAGTTGTTTCGAGAAAAACAGGACCAATATCTTTGGTAAAATAAAGCAAAGCAGAGATTCAGTGTGGGAATGTCTGACAGGATGATACTTCTCAGAATTAAAAAAATACATATATATACATATATATGCTGGGAAAAAGCAGGAAACATGAGAGCTTTTATCTCTCACATGTTATTTTATTAAAAGCACAAGATAACCATCTTCAGGAAAATGAATACATGTAAAGACAAGCAATGATATTGTATCTACAAATTATCAATCATGCAGGGACTGCCAAGGAAATGCTCTTTCTTGGTCACAAAGTTCAGCTGCCTAATGTCTTTCCCCAAGAAGAGTAAGAATACAAAACCAAGGCATAGCACAAAAAGTAACAATATCAATTGCAGCAAACTTTTGGAATTTAAAGTTAAGTTTCCCACAAAGTATCTAGCTTGGCCTCTTGACTACAGAGTAGCTTAGAGTGGTACAAGGCAATGTATTAAATGCTTAAAAATCAACTCAATGAAAAAATAAAGACCTATTCTACTAAAATCACATTCTAGCAATTCTCTGGTAACCAAAATATAGAAACCCTTTATTAAGTTTCCATCATCATGAGGGAAAATAAACTTTCTGATAATGGATATTTACCCCTTTAAGTATCAAAATGCTTTTTGTTAACTGTTCTGGATATAAAGATTTTAAAATTATTTTCACACCTTTCTGTGTTGTTAGAATCTACCTTTACATTAATCTGGTCTTTGCTTTTTAAAGCGATCCACATAACCATATATTGCCACCCTTTGCTATCTACAGATACACCCTTGGGCATCAGGTGCCCCCTGCCCTGTCCAGTGGTGCTCCTAGGGGGCTGTATTTTAATTCTTCCACTTCCTAGTGCCTCAGCAGCGGCCACTTCACTGAATTCATCAGTATCATTCCTACCCACTGGCTCATTTTATTCTTAGTCCATGTCTGGGGACTATAAGGGACACCCCATAGAGAAAGTAGATGCCCTTAGTGATGGTCTCCAGCTACTCTAAAGCGCTAGGGCTGCTGAAATTCAACTTTCAGCCCGGAAGGGTCTGCCTTCTACATAAACTCCATTTCAAACACAATTGTTCTTACCTCCATAACTGTAGAAAGCATCTCTTTCTCTTACTCCAATGACAGTTCCCAAGACATCTACCTGTTTTATTGGATGTCCATTGTACAAAAATACACCTAAAATTAAAAAAAGCAAAATCTATATAATGCATGATTATATTTTCTGCATCATTAAATGTTAACTTGTAGGGGGTAAGGGGATATAAAAAAATCAGTGCCATGCTGTTTGCTGAAATTCTAGACTTAAGGATCAGTCCTTGACAAATGACAATGCACCAAGGAATTCCAATGTCTTTTCCTCACAGGTCCTCAGTAGAAAGCCTGGCATTAAAGCTTGTACTAGTGCAGATGGGAGAAAACCAGCGTTGCCCAACTAGATTTGGTTAATGCACCTCTGTCCAGGATGCTTACAAGGGGCCTGAAAACAATCATTATACTGTGGGACCAAACACAGGACTATATTTGGAGCAACTAGAAGAAGGAAAGAGAAAGGAAACCATGAGAAAGGCTTCTTTGGCTTTTTTTTTTTTTTTAACAAGTACTTTTCTAAGAAACCAGTCATCATTTCTTTGAACTGGCAATAGCATTTTTTTAAAAAGACAGTAAGTAGGTTACAAAACGCTACCTTTTGGGGCCAGATTACAACCCCATAACTTCTGTTTTTAAAACTCTTATTTTCAAAACCTAGGCTACAGATGTCAGCAGGCAACTTCCTGCCAGAGTAGACAGCTGAGAGGGGGAACCTACCCACTGAGACCCAGAGGCTTCTTTCTGACTTGGGGACAGGACACAGAGGGGGTGCTCTATATCACTATTTGTACACTGAGCAAAGTTAGAACTGTTTTATAGAACAGGGCTGCCCCCAGCCCCGGCTTACGTGATGGTCTATCCTGGCTGCCAGGTACTTGTTTGTATTAGAGACAGACACCCCACAGGGCGTGTGGAGCAGGAAGGAGTCCCTGATAGTCTGAGGGCTATCCTGGCTCCTGCAGGGCTTTCCTTCTGCCTGTCCCCCAGTAACCTAACCCAAGCTCCCTGCTTCACCTTGAGCTATGTGCACTGTGTTCCTGTCACCTGCAACTAAAGAGTGCTGTCCAATCTCTTTTCCAGCCTCTTCCCCCACCCCCATGATGGCTGAATTCTTTATTTTCAGAAACAGATTAAACTTTTACATGGTGATTTCCTTTTTTTTTAAATTAGACACAGGAGTCTCACTTTGCTGCCCAGGCTGGTCTTGAACTTCCTGCTTCAAGCAATCCTCCCACCTCAGTGTCTAAAAGTGCTGGGAACCACCACACCTGGCCAAGTCCTATTTAAAATAAATGTATGAAACCTAGACAATGATCACCTCAGGCATTTGGCCATTCTTCCCTCACCATCAAGACTAGTCACAGCCTCTATTCTCTCCATTCATGGGGGCACTTAGGGCCTAAATCCCAACGTCCCTTAGAACTCCCAGACTGGTCTCTGCTGATGGTTCTGTTTCCCTTGTAGACAAAAGGACTGGGGAAGAATCCAAAGAATGGATGAGGAACCTCTAAGCCTCAGTTACAGAGAGATACCAGGGCAGTGAGATGTGGTTTGAAGAAATAAGAGGTGGCAAATTTAGCCAAAAGTAAGACCCTCTCCCTCCACAGAAGCACACTTCTAAAGATGACCCCTGGTGGCTGGAGACTGTCCTCAGGGCAACCCTACAGGCATGAGCTGAAGATGGCAGCAACAAGGAGGGAAGGAGCCTGCGTCACTGTGTCACCCCCAAAAGAGAGTCACCTCCATCCAGGAACACTTGAATTGAATGGGGACAAAGTGGTTCCACTGAAAATCCATGTTTTGGTTCTTGACTTTTTTAAAGATAGGGTCTCTGTCTGTTGCCCCGTGGCACAATTACAGCTTTCTGCAGCCTCAACTCCTGGTCTCAAGCGGGAGCCCAACTAATGCTTTTACTTTTTATAGAGATGGGTTTCTCTCTGTTGCCCATGCTGGCCTCAAACTCTCAGCCTCCCAAAGCAATAGAATTACAGGTGTGAGCCACTGCACCCAGCCCATAAAATTTTAAGATGTAAACAGTTCCAACTGGCTTCTCCTGAGTTCTCACAATTGAAACCTAGTCTTTTCCGTAACACTGCTGAAGAGACCCTCAGTTCTCTGCCCCTGCCTGCCTGCACTGACGAAATACAAGACAGGGAGCCTGCAGAGAAGGGAGATCCCTGTGTCTTGTGTAGTCAAAGGCAGGCTTCCTTGCAGCAGAAGCAAGCTTTAAACCAGGAGAATGAGCCTCACCCAGGGATGCCCCACTGCAGTACACCCCATCACTCTGCCTTAGGGTGCCTGTGTTCAGAGCAGGACTGAGTCATGGTGCTGCTTTGGTCATCTAGGTTTGCCACAGGGCCAGGTGGCCTGAGCTTCAGGCTAATCTCTGGCTGTACTTAGCCCTTTCTGCCTCCCCAAATGTTCTATATCGCTATTTGTAAACGGGGCAGAGTAAAGTTAGAGAGAACTGTTTTATAGAACAGGGCTGGCCTCCCCCTACCCTGGCCTATGTGATGATCTATCCTGGTTGCCAAGTACTTGTTTGTATTAGAGATAGACACTCCACAGGGGCTGCTGTGGCCCATAGCACACAGGCAATCAGAGGCAGAAAGCAGAGCCCTTTGGAACCACAGAGGGCTGGCTGTCCACAACTGAAACGTCTTTCCAGTTGGTCAAGAAGCAGCAGGATGCTCTGCTGGTGATGTCTGAAAGTCCCAGGACTCTTTGGGTCTCTGTGGAGATCCTAGCATGTACCACTGTCGTGGTTTTAATAAATAGTGAAAACACTTTCAGCTGGTGAAAAGAGAGGAATAAAAGGTATGTTTCCTGCATTGAAGTCTATGGGAAAGACATTGAGAAGACTGGGGTAATGGCACAGCCAATGAAGTCCTCTAGTCACCTTTGATGAAAGGCAGTCATCCAATGCAACAAGCTTTGTATGTAGCAACACTTAAAATAAAAATCTGAATAGGTCTTCACTTGTGGACACAGTAGACTTTCTTGAAAAAGGACAGAAAAGTGAGCCCTGTGAATTTTCATCTCACACACTGACAACAATGACTTGTCTTTGAGTACAGACATGGTCACTCAAGATGCAACAAAATCTTTCCAGTCCCAAGTGGCTGATGCAAAAAAAAAAAAAAACAACAAAAAACCATCTTACAAGCATCACAGAACAACGGAGAAAGAGATCAGAAGAATATAACAGGTAGTTTGAATTTTAAAACTCGGAGAAAAGCAACTGAGGAGGAAATACACTGCTTAGAAAGAAGAAATTTCTTCAAGTCTATAGATACGTGAACTGCACTTATCCGTTGCGCAGCCTCTACAACAAGATGGCTGAAGACATGGAAAAAAGAGAGTGCCATTTTCTTCTATCAAAGCAATCCTATTCTATAAGAAGAGAGTTCAAGAAAGTTGGATGGCTGCTCTGTCGACTGAGAGAAAGCTCAATGAACTAAGAAAAGAAAACGGCAACAAATACTAGATAACAGAGCTCATGTTCCAGCTTTCCTAAGTGACCCTTGTGTTCCCGCTGTTCCACATGCAGCCCACAGAGGCCTAAAAGCATCAGAGGACCCCCTGGATCATTAGGCCCCCAAGAAGGAGGAAGGTTCAGCTATAAGAGCTCAGGGATTTAGGGTCACAGGCAGGTTGATTCAGATTTCAAGCAGCTGACCCTGAACATCCACAACCACAGCAAGACATTTGACTGTTTTCTCTTTTTAAAAGTACTTTTGACTCCTCACTTTTTAGTTTAACTGCTATTATTTAATAGATGCTATAATTGTTATGTTTGATAGATTAAAACACCTAAGATAATGTTTTTCAAACAGATTTAATATAATTCTTATTAATATATTATTTCTACTTCATTGTACTCACTAGAATAATAGGTAGGATAAGTATTACATACTGATTTAAATTAAAAAGTATTATTTAATCCATCATTGAAGTTCGACACAGAGATATTTAAAACAATAAATATGACTTCTCTATGTTATGAGCTATTATTAAAAATACATTGATTTTTTTTTTTTTTTTTGAGACAGGGTCTTGTTCTATTGCCCAGGCTGGAAGGCGATGTTACAGTCACGGCTCACTGCAGCCTTGACCTTCCAGGCTAAAGTGATCCTCCCACCTCTGCCTCCTGACTAATTGGGACTATAGGCACTGCTTTTTAAAAATTAGACATGGAGTCTCACTTTGTTGCCCAGGATGGTCTTGAACTCTGAGGTCAAGTGATCCTCCCACCTTGGCCTCCCAAAGTGCTGGGATTACAGGCATTAGCCACTGTACCTGGGCTATTTCTTTTTAATGCAAAAAAAGAAATAATAAGCCCACAAAAATCTAAATACTACCACAATCAAATTTCACAGTATTTTTCTTAGTTTAACTCTAAATTCAAATTTAGGGGACCCGACATTTTGCAACCATTTTGTGATGCAATTCTGATGCTAACTACTCAAAGTTGGGTTAAATTTCACAGGTTAAGGGCACAGTCCCCCAAAATACTGCCCTCACTTGAGTCATGAGTCCCAAGTTTTGTGAGGGTCCTCAGGCCATCTGCACTTCTGACCAACTGGTTATAAATTTGGGGGTTCCTAATGCTCCCTCAGGTTTAATAATTCGCTAGAATGACTCACAGGACTCAGGAAGGTGCTATACTTATGACTATAGTTTTATCCATGAAGAGTACAAATCAGGGCCAACCAAACGAAGAGATGCCCAAGGAAGGGTCTGGGGGGGCACAAACACAAAGCTTCTGTGTCCTCGACACATCACCCACTGACACATGATGATCAACTATGGAAGCTCACCTGACCCTTGGTGTCCAGAGCTTTTACTAAGGTCTCATAAGGTAGGCACAACTAACTGAATTACTGGTCACATAACTGAACTCAATCTCCAGTCCCTCTCCCCTCCCAAAAGGTCAGATTAGTATGATCTGGCTCAAAACTCCAACTCTCTAATCAAACAGTTGGTCTTTCAGGCATAGACAGCCCCCACCTCAAACTATCTAGGGGTCTAGCATGAGCCACCTGATTTGCATAAATTCAGGTGTGGTTCAAGAGGCCACCATGAATAATGATGACACTCCTATCATTCAGGACACTATAATAATTTAGATGTACCCTGCAGGAACCAAGGGCAAAGGACAGCCAAATCCTTTATTATACAACACATTCATTTCATATTTTATCATTTTTGGGGTTTGTCTTTGTTATTTTAAGATATTCTTTGCTGTTTAAATATTCCTAAATTTTATGCAGTCAAAATTTTTCTTTATGATAAACCAAACCAAACACCTAGATGAGTGGAATTCCATATATAGTCTAAAGCAGTGGTCCCCAGCCTTTTTGACACCAGGGACCGGTTTTGAAGAAGACAATTTTTCCAGGGATGGGGATTGGGGGAACGGTTTGGTGATGAAACTGTTCCACCTCAGATCGTTAGGCATTAGATTCTCATAAGGAGTACGCAACCTAAATCCCTTACACATGCAGTTCACAGTAGGGTCTGCGCTCCTCTAAGAATGTAATGCCAGCCGGGCGCTGTGGTTCACGCCCATAATCCTAGCACTTTGGGAAGCCTAGGTGGGTGGATTGCCTGAGCTCATGAGTTCGAAACCATCCTGGGCAACACCGTGAAACCCCGTCTCTATTAAAACACAAAAAAAATTAGACAGGTGTGGCGGTGTGTGCCTGTAGTCTCATCTACTTGGGAGGTTGAGGCAGGAGAATCACTTAAACCCGGGAGGCGGAGGTTGCAGTGAGCTGAGATTACCCCACTGCACTTCAGCCTGGGTGACAGAGCAAGACTTTGTCTCAAAAAAAAAAAAAAAAGAAAAAAGAAAAAAAATGTAATGCTGCTGCTGATCTCACAGGATGTGGAGCTCAGGCAATAATGCTCACTGGCCAACCACTCACCTGCTGCTGTGTGGTCCATTCCTAACAGACCATGGGGCAGCAGTGATGTGTGGCCCCAAGGGTTGAAGACCCCAGGTCTAAAAGTATATACTCTGTAAAATTATGGTTGATGTCTGCTTCCACTATGAAGTTTCAGTTTTAAAACACCTTGGAAACATTCTCACCAGTGATAAATCAAAGATCACTGGTCCTGTTTTTGTTGCTTTGTTTTTAATACATCATAAAGTCCTTTGCCCACGGAAAAGTTAAGCCCCTATCATGTCCTTGGTACCTGTTTGCTCACCCGCAGAAGATCATTAAGCAAGGAAAGCTAGGATTTGGTGTGAATTAATTTCTTTCTGAAGAGATGAGCTATGAAGAATAACAGATTGGAAAATGGAAAACTGTGGAGGAGGCTGGCTACCTTCCAGGTGGAAAACAGACCATTTCAAACAATAATTAGGAAATAAAGGTGTGGTGAAAAATCTCCACAAAAGGTATTAGCATAAGGTCATCCAAGTATATTTGTACATTTCACTGGAAACAAACAAAACCTTATCTCATTAAAACTGTGGATGCTTGAGATTCTTGACTATTTCTGACTCATAGCTTGTTATTCCAAAGGCCCCTTGACTGGTAAGTTTCACTCAAAATAGCAAAGGAAGTTTAACCAAACTTCTCAAATAGCACAGTAAACATGTGACAATCTACCCACAGCTACGTGAATTATTTAAATCTACCCCAAACTATATTTGTTATATTTTTAGGTATGATAAACCTGTCTCTAGTAACCATTAATCTAATACAGAAAAAACCTTTTTTTTTCCTTCCTGAGACGGAGTCTCACTCTGTCACCCAGGCTGGAGTGCAGTGGCATGATCTCAGCTCACTGCAACCTCCACCTCCCACGTTCAAGTCATTCTCCTCCCTCAGCCTACTGGGAAGCTGGGACTACAGGCATGAGCCACCATGCCTGGCTAATTTTTGTATTCTTTAGTAGAAACAGGGTTTCACCATTTTCCACAGGCTGGTCTTGAACTCTTGACCTTGTGACCTGCCCGCCTCAGCCTACAACGTGCTGGGATTACAAGCGTGAGCCACTGCGACTGGCCCCCAAAAAACTTTTAAACTTTACATGTATAATGCCTTGTTGCTTCAACTACTATTTCTATTTGAGGGCCAACTATATGCCAGGCACTGTTCTAAATCCTGGGAATACACAGGTGAACAAGACAGATGATGTCCTTCCTCTCAGGGAGTTAGTAATATTTTGATTCTGCTTAATTCAAAAGAAAACAAATCCCCATTAGACAATTACACAGGGTTAAGCTCCATTTTTACAAAGAAACCTAAACTTTGCAGAAGGTGAGTCACATGCCCAGGCCAGATAAGTGGCACACTTAGGAAAGGAGCCAGGCCTAGGAATGCCTGGCCCAGCGATCTCTCCAACAGGAGCAGGCCCAAAGAAAAACAAATGAGCATTTCAAATATGAAAGATCCTATATGCAGGTAAAAAGCTCAGTACAAAGGTGACTCTCCCAAACACCTATATAAAAAAAAAAATTACTTTTTTTTTTTACCTTGCAAATAAATGAACTCATGCAAACGTCCAAGCGAGGTCACTTTCAAAGCCTGCAGCAGGGAAGGCTCTCCTAAAAGCCTCTAATCCCAGCTTTCTGAGACTTTGGGAAAGAGGGCAGATGCAGTCCAGGGCATTCATCAGAGTGGCCAGCCACATACCTGGCACCTGGCGGGACTCCTTCAAGTCCAGGATATCCCTGATGTAGAGTTTTGCAAAGGCTAGAAACACAGGATCCAAACCCCACAAGAGGGAAGGGGTCTCCTCTTCACACCGGCTGGATCCAGGCTGCATCAAGAGGCTGGGCTGTGGCTTCCAACTAACCCTGAGAGGTTCTGCATCACTGAGTCAAGCATCTAGACAGGACATAGAAATGAGGATACAATGCGTTTAACGTGGGTGAAAGTGGCACGGCCCTGACGCTGCTCCCAGGTGGGCGTCCAGGACTCCAGGAGGGGTGAACCTGGGGATCCAGGGCCCTGTCAAACTCCATGCCACGGGGCGTGGAAAGAGGCGTTCCTCGCGTCAGGACGCCTGCGTTCCGTATGGCTCTCCCGCTGTTGTCCTTCCCCAAAAAAACCAACTTCGGAACGGCTACACAACTTTTCACTCTGGGAAGATACGTCCATACAGGCGTACCAGACACCGCTTGGGGTCCAGGGAGGAACGGGCACCCTCGCAGCTCTGCAGGTGTTGGGGCACAGTGGATGGGTCGGATTGTCGCTCTGCCCTAAACCTTCCGCTTTTGGGGAAGAGCCGAGAAAAGGAGGAAGAAAGATACCCAAAAAACGGACCCACTTGTAGCCCCACCCGCTGGCTGCAGCACCAGGAGCTCTGAGATACAGCCCTTCCGGCGCTGGGAGCGGCGGACGGCGACCGCCTCGCCCGGCGCAGGAGCAGTTGGCGGAGGTCGCCTGTGGAGTTCCGGCCCGAGCCCGCCCCCCGGCCCCGCCAGGAACCAACCCCAGTCTCCGCGCCGGCGCATTTCCTTCCTGCGGCAGCGCCTCGCCACCGCTCCACCCGATCTCTTCCGAAGTCCCGCCTCGTTCCGCCCAAGCCCCACCCATCCCCCGGCGGTCACGCCCCGTCCAAACCGAAGCCCCGCCCCATCCCACCACGGCCCCGCCGGGCGCTCGGCCCCATCCAGCCGAAGCCCCGCCCCGTTCCGTGAGCCGACGCAGCGCGGCGTCCTTTCGGCTCCGGCCGCGCTGAAGCCCAGCTCCAGTCCTAGCCTCTACCGTCGAGGCCTAGGAGCCGACCCTGAAATTCCTGCCGCTCTAACGCCGCCCTCCAAGTCACCTTTCACCCCTCCTCCCGCCGGTGGCGGGACCCTGAACCCGGGCCTCCTAGAGGTTGGGGCAGGATCAGGGTATTTTTCTTTTTGATTCTTGGTATGTAAAACAAACAAAAAGTAAGCAGAGCCGCGAGTACATTTTGGCATATTTTAAATGTTCATTTACAGGTGGGAAGTGACCTGACACACGCGCTTAGGACTTTACAGTTTCACTTGGAGATGTGAATATCTAAATTTAAGCCCTCGAGTGAATGTGAGGTCTTGACCCTGTCAGAGACTAGCCGTGCAAAATCATGACAATACATTTTGTCTCCTTTCCCCTTGTTGGGTCTACAGTCTGGAAGGTTGTGCACTTAAGAACTTTGGAAAACGGGCATTTTGGTAAATCATGGCCACCTCGATGGTGCTTAGTCCCCAGAATTTCTATTTTAAAATGAGGAAAGATAGCCACGTTCCACTCCCATAAAGAGCTATGTTACTCGAGACGTCAAGAATTCTCCCTAATTTACAGAGACTCTGGAAAATGGCAGGGGAGTATTCATCACCCCGGCAGACCATTCCCGGGGGAGGCAGGTAGTGGCCAAAGAGATAATTGCTAAACTATTTATCAGGGAAGGAACTTCGAGCCGCTGGAATGGAAAATGTGCATGTCATTAGACCCATGGCATTTAATTACCTCCCCAGCCATTTAAGAAGCTCAAAAACAGTCTTTTGTAAAATACATTGCCCAGATTCTACTGCAATGAACAGTAGGGGATGTAGGGTTTAAGATTTAATTAAGAGAAGTCACGGGCGGGGCGAGATGACTCACGCCTGTAATCCCAGCACTTTGGGAGGCTGAGGCAGGCAGATCATGAGGTCAGGAGTTCCAGTTCAGTGTGTCCAACATACTGAAGCCCCGTGTTCACTAAAATACTAAAAATTAGCCGGGTGTGGTGGTGTGCGCCTGTGATCCCAGCCTCTTGGTAGCCTGAGGCAGGGGAATCGCGCAAATCTGGGAGGTGGAGGTTGCAAGGAGCCAAGATTGCGCCATTGCACTCCAGACAGTGCCCGCCTGACAGAGAGAGAGGGAGAGAGAGAGGGAGAGAGAGAGAGGGAGAGGGAGGGAGGGGCGAGAGAGAGAGAGAGAGAGAGAGAGAGAGAGAGAGAGAGAGCATCTCTAGGAGGGAGGCCCTTGTCAAGAAAACACACCCAGTAGGACAGGTGCTTCCTGCTAACCTGTCAGATGGGGAGAGACAGGTTGGGTGACATTTTCCTGACTGTACACATCGGCTCCAGGGTGAAACCCAAAGGCGGAAATCACTATTGGGTGTCAGAGCCTGAGATGATTTCAGAAATGACGCTCATGGCTCACAAGGGTAGAGTGCTGGATATAAGAGCCCTTTGAGACTCCATGCTTGCTGCCAGCCTTGGGAAGGACCACACCCAGGTCGTATAAGCAGAGCAGAATGTCCCAATACCATCTTTTACAATGCAGGGAGGACTCCTCGGAGTCTAGGGGTGTTCCTTTTGATCTGAGCCCCAAACCTGAAGGAGTACGTTATAACTGAAACCTAAGGTGAGACGTAGAACAGAATCTCCAGACTGCAGAAGCATTTAGAGGAGTTTGGGAGGATCCTCTTCCCTTTAGTCTCCATCATCACAGATTTCAGGTACCCCAAGCCACAGCCTGGATGTGTATGAAGGGACTCCTAAAATCCTCAGCACTGCAGAGCTCTTCTGATTGGAATTCTGCAACACTGCAAAGCAGGTATTTCAAAACCTAGCAATTAAGATGTAATGCTAGGAACTCATTCTTATAGCTTCTAATTTTTTTTTGAGACGAAGTTCCACTTCTATTGCCTAGGTTGGAGTACAATGTTGCCATCTTGGTTCATCGCAACCTCCACCTCCCAGGTTCAAGCAATTCTCCTGCCTCAACCTCCCGAGTAGCTGGGATTACAGGCATGTGCCACCACACCCGGCTAATTTTGTATTTTTAGTGGAGACGGGGTTTCTCCATGTTGGTCAGGCTGGTCTCGAACTCCCCACCTCAGGTGATCCACCTGCTTCAGCCTCCCAAAGTGCTGAGATTACAGGCGTGAGCCACCGTGCCCAGCCTTTTATAGTTTCTTAATGTGAAACTTGGTGAACTTGGTCTTGAAGCATTTGTGACAGAATAGGCAATTCTTTCTAGAAAGTTAAGGTTTGAGCAAGTTCTTCTGGAAAAATGAGGTGATTGAAGTGGATATCTCATGCCTCAAAGCTCAAACTGTCGCATTTTAACCATTGTTGACATCTTTACAGGTAGAATTCAGTTTGTCCACTTGCAAAGTGGGTTAGGTTTTCTGTTTGAAGTTTACAGTTGACAAAAGATTCTCTCTTTGACCAAACTCCTTTGAGTCCCCTTTTCAACTTGTCCTCAACCTTGGCCTATAAAGACTTGAACAAATGCTAACATAGTTTCAATCAAAGGCTACATTCCTAGAATGGCCCTAGATCCCTTTAAAGTGTCTGCCTGTGAAAACTCAAGGCTGCCAAAAGAATTTACTGTTTGTTCTAGCCAATACCTGAAGACAAGGCCTTGTCACCTAGTCTCTGTGGGAGGGTAGGGGCATAACCCCAGTAAGTACCAGTTAGCAAGACTAGATGGGTTTCACATGGACTGATTTCCTCCCTTTGCGTTTTTTGTAATTTTTTCACTTTGCAGACTCTTCTCAGGCCTCTGCCATTCTTCCCTGCCCCATTGCCCCCCAATTCATTTTCTCTTTAAAAAGCCCAGTTACCTCTCTGTGAATCTGAAGGTAACTCAGCTCTTTCCTCTACTGTCAATAGTTATTCAGTAAAATGTTTTCACTGCTTTCACTAAAGTCTGACTGTGTTTATCTTTGATATAATAAAGACAATCTCTCAATATTTTTCTTATGTTACTAATATAATCCCAGGAATGGCAGGCGGGGACCAGGGACGTCTTCAGTTATTCAGCACATCTTGAGCTCTTTCTGTGTGCTTTGGCACTGGGCTGTGGAGGAGCACTAGTTATGCTACTGGAGCAAAAAGAGTGATGCATGTAATATTAAATACCAAAGCAAGAGGCTAAATTGTGATTTAATATGAAAGGTGTAGCACAGATAATAACTACTGCATGAGTTACAGGAGGTAAATGGAGGGACCTCATTAAGTGAGATAATATATGTAACCACTAGAACAAGGTAAGCCCTAATTAAATGTCAGCTATTATTCCTATTCCCTATGGCAGTGAGATTTAAGCAGGTTGTTGAGACTGTGGAGGAGCTGTTCATTCATTTCTGCTTCATTCATGAAGCGTATTTTAAAAGCACTTGTCAAGTAGTGTAATAGACACTGAGGATAAGAAAGAGGCAAGACAGTGGGTTTCCAGCCCTCATGGAGCTTCCATTCTGTAGGGGGAAAGTGGAGGGACAATAAACAAATTGTTCTCAGTGCTTAGATGAAGTGACATTCAGTTTGAGACCCGAAGGGTAGAAAAGCCAGCCACACAGTGCTAAGCAAAGAGCATTCCAGGCAGCAGTCCAAGCAAGGGCCACTGTGTGGAGGGAGCAAAATATTTCCCTGGTCAAGGAACAGAAGAGAGAGTGGGGAGAGTGGTTGCATATGCAATGGAGAGATAGGCAGGAGGCAGATCCAAGGGACATTGTAGGCCATGGTTGGTTTGGATTTTATTCTTAGTCTCACCCTATGTGGAAAGGGTACTGGGATGCCATGATGGAGAGGGAGCAGGGCAAAGGCAGCAGGATGGACGAGTCATGTTACTGGGCAAGCCAACACAGCGGCCTGACTGGAGAGGGAAGCTGCAGTAGAAGCTGCTGGAGACCAAGATTTTAGCTAGACTCTGAAGGACTTGAGTTAGCTTCTACCTTTATTCCCTGTAAGCAATGGGAGTTGTTAATCATTCATCAGAGGAATGATTTAATGAATTTAAAAATTGTAGTCAGGCTGACTGCCGTGGCTTACCCCTGTAATCTCAACACTTTGAGAAGCCAAGGAGGGAGGATCATTGAGCCTAAGAGTTCAGGACCAGTGTGGGCAACATAGTGAAACCCCATCTCCACAAAAAAAACAAAACAGTCAGCAGGGTGTGGTAGTGTATACCTGCAGGCCCAGCTACTTAGGAGGCTGAGGTGGGAGGGTCGCTTGAGCCCAAGAATCTGAACTTGTAGTGAGCTGTGGTTATGCCACTGCACCCTAGCCTGGCCGACAGATCAAGACCCTGTCTCAAAAAAAAAAAAAAATTGTAGATATACCTGCCATATCTAACATACTATGGTGGGGGGTACAAAAATAGGTAAGAGGTATTCTAAATCCGATTTACTAAATCTATCCTGAAAATTGTGTCTTGTGGATATTAATCAATTGGTGGTGAAGAAACTAGATTAAGAAAATATTTCTGGGCCTAATGCATTGGGCCTCATCTGTATCACTTGTCCTCCTGCCTCCTTAGCAACCTTGCTGAATCCCTGATGATGTCATCCTCCTGCTCTCTCTGGCTTCCCATTGGCAAAAAAACAGGCTCTCCTGCTCTCTCTCTTTTTTTTTTTAAGATAGGGTTTCACCATGATGGCCAGGCTGGTTTTGAACTCCTGACCTCAGGTGATCCACCCACCTCGGCCTCCCAAAGTGCTAGGATTACAGGCATGAGCCACCACTCCCAGCTCCTGGTCTCTTTAATA